GGACGAGACATCTCGCCTGTTTACTACCGTTAGCACGCACTTGGGCTCATCGCAATACACTAGACACAGATATGGAATTAAATTAGCCTCGGAGGAATTTCCAAAGAATAATCTACTACGTTGTACGAGTGATACAGAAAACCTGGGTATTCCTTGACGACTTACTAACCACGCGTCATAAAGAAGAGCGCCTGCGCACTTTAGACAAGGCACTGCACAGATTGTACGAAAACGAACTACATTTAAAGCGTACCAAATATGAATGCAAAGTTGGGTTTTCAGTGCTGAGAGGAGCAACACCGAATCATAGCCGCTTTAAATGTGCTTTTTTTGCCTGATTCTGTTGACACTGCGGGGCCTTTATATTGGTCGTTGCTGTTTCTTCTCCTTGGAGTATTGTTTGTTATGATAGTTATTGCGAATTTACCCATTATATTGTGCTGTTCCCGGAAGTTTGTTTATCTGAACTATTCGAAAATCATCAATGATATCCCACTCTTCCAAATGTAGGAAATACTTTCGAAGCCCCGCACAAAGCACCAAACGAATTTTCAAAAAAACATTTTAGTAAAATGCGGAAACAGGGCGCAGGTTGGCAAGTTAGCCTTAGACACTGCTCTGTAAATAGAGAACAAATACCGCTGATTCCAGTAATGTGTGCGCTCTCATCGGTAAAACCGCTGAGCTTACTGACACTATGATACGTGAAGAATTTGCAAATACAGGTGTCGTGACGCTTCAAGAAATGTGGCTCGTTCCTGACATTGAGCACGAGGTTATCGAACTCTGTATCATAAGGACAGATACACCTGGAAAGCCGCATAATCGTGGAGGTGGCGTCATCGGTTAGATTAACGAACTCTGGTGTAAATCAATGGCTTTGTTGTTTACATACTCAAGGTCAAAAATTCGCTGCCATTTAACTGAATGTAAACCGAAGTTCTTGAGCAATTTGCATTCCGTAGTCATTGGAAAGGTCTATATAGCTCCTGACTCTTCTGAGTTGAAGAACTTTGTCGATTGGATATATTTGGGTGTTGCTCCTCTCAACACTGGCACACCAAGACCGCGGTTTCGTCCTGGTTTGGACTCATCCGGGTGGCGATAGCCTGAGCAGGGTGGAACTCAGAGCCCAGTAGTTCACGGCTGACGTCCTAAACAGAATGCTACCGAGATCCGTGACCAACGCTTGGTACAGCGGAAAGCAATTCCAAGTTGAATTTGGGTAACCCGCTGTGTGTTTGGGTTGCGACTTGTAACCTCAATGGTTATCTCGGTTCAAGTAGAGGTAAACCTCGGTCATTCCGATTGTGTGGACCGTATACGGAATGGAAATATTTAGGTGTTGCTCCTCACAACACTGGCACACCACGACCGCGGTTTCATCCTGGTTTGGACTAGTCAGATGGAAATAGCCTGAGCTGCGGTGCAAATCAGAGTCTAGTAGTTCACTAGAGGTTGCGTGTCGAAACTCAACCACACAGTGGGTTCCTCAAACACAACTTTGAATTTTGCCGATTATTTTTCCCCAGTATTATTACCCAAAATTCAGAGCTCCCTCCGCATTATTGTTGGTGATGTTAACAAGATTGACATAGCATTTATCAAATCTCTCGGTCGAAAGGATATGGTGAACTTCGAAACCAGAATAAACGCACAGTTAGATTTTGTATTCACACTAAAAAGGACTCCTCTGGGCAACTCAGATCACTGCATTTTGAAGGTATACCCAATCATGTACTGCAAGACCAAATTTGTCTCTTTGACAAGGAAGCCATTCAAAACCGTCAGATTGAGAGACTGATCGACATGAAATATTGCAAAATTCCAAGCTACATTGGCTTCAACTGACGTTACAGTTTTCAGGAAAGAAAAACTAACTTAGGAGTGTGACCACTTGGCTGAATATATTAAACTCTGCATCCATTTTTGGTGCACTGTTGAGACCATCTACCTACGGATGGATAGATGTTCTTCGTCGCTACTGTAGCGACTTCGAAGAAAGAAAGAACAAGACTATGAATGCAAAATGTGTGCGTGAATTAAAAGACTCTATGGCAACCAAATCCGAGATAAAAAGTTGAAGCGCCTATACACTGAGCCAATGATGGGCTTTAACGATTTTCACGATCTCTTGCTAAGGTAGTTGCTGTCTCACCAAGGCGGAGTGGACTAAAAAATGAACCGGAACTCTGCCTCGTCTATCACCAAACACCTAATGACGACTCGTCACCACGCGAACCAAATTGATTCATTCAAGGTGCTATTACGCAACAGGAACCCGACTGTGTTGGCAATTGGCGAGGCGCTACCGATAAGGTTGAATTGTCCCACGCTCTGTGCCCAGAAACAACTGAGGCAATCATTTAAATTGCCTTGGACCTGATTACGTCATTCACCTCAATTTAATCTGTTTATCTATGTTACTAAGTGTGGACTGTATTTAATGCGTATTTTGTTCTGCCTGTATTGCATAGCGACTGACGAGAGTAAACGAAATGTCAACATTTCGTAACCTATGACTTCTTACTGCATTAATGGAGTGGTTGAAGCGGAATCAGTGTTATGTTTTTTAATAGAAGTCTCCCCGCTGACGTCGTGATGGCATTGGATCGATTGTTGTCGTTGTGCTGATAGATCACGGTGGAATGCGTATGGGTTAAATTTTATCATGAATGTATCCAGTCAGGTCGATATCCATCTCGGTATGTTAAAACCCTGTCGAAAAATAAGCTGCCTGCTAACAGTGTGAATATAGCCAGGATTGCGTCCGCAAATATCGGTGCTTGCATTGAACGAGAACATAAGTTCCTGAAGACAAAAAAGCGATTCGCGGTTGTTTTGAATGGCTTGTCACTGGTTTGCAGTTTCAAATTTGAGGCATTTTCGCCCGAAACTCTCCAGCGTAATAGGACCACGACACCGCGAAGCCTTCAAGGTAAACTTGTGAGAGCAGTTGAAATGTCTTTCCTTACCGAGGGTCAGAAGCATGTGTACAATCTGTCAACAGCTCGGTTCACGTGAGAACAGTCGGAAGTTCTTTCGCTGGGACTAAAATACCGAGTACCGCCGAAGAAGGTAAAGGCTTCACACACAGATTAATTTTGAATATCTGTACGATCAACTAAGTGACCATTCGCCGAAATCAACGGATGATACAAGATGGTTTCGGGCAAAAGTAGTGGATATCTCGAATCAGTTCCTGAACGCGCCTATTTGTCAGATGTTGCTTGAAGTCGGAACACTATGTGTCAATCAAGGAGCTGCAGAAAATGAAGGACGTAATTTTCCTGCAGCTAGACCAAGGCACGGATGTGGTAATAATGGACAAAGCTGATTACATCGAAAAAATGGAATCCATTCTCGGAGATGGACGCAAGTTTCGTATTGACAAGACACTGGATAACAGTATCTTGGTGGAGAAACAAATTGTAAGGCATCTATAAATTCTTTTGCTTCATCGTTATATCTCCGAGTCACAATGCCGACAGTTAAAACCGAGAGAAACGGAAACATCAAGGATGAGGGGTGCGCCGAAACTGCACAAGGCGGGAGTAACTATGACTCTCTTGACTCGCGATCGTACAGGCGCGTTCCTGTTGCTGCGGCTTCGGCTGCGGCGACGGGACATAATGAACGCTTAAGTAGAGATGTGGGCTTCGGCTCTGTATTCAGCCTGGATGTGCGTTGAGTCTAATTGAGTTGTAGTTACACGGCCTGGGCGCCTCCACGTGGCGACCGCTGGTAACGCGTGATGTTAACATTACTCGGCTAAGATCCAGGCCAACCTCCTTCAGGCTTGACTCACCTGCTGGAGTATAAAGCGGGTTAAGTACCATCATGAAACGAAACCTTATCACGAATTATATGAGCAGACTTTCTGAACCTGCTCAACCCCGCTGTTCGAATCCGGGTGGGACCGGAGATTGTGATTTAGATGGAGAGGTTATTGGTTCAGTTCCTGGTACGAGTACTGAATTTGCATGTCTCTGCGGACAGAAATATGCCAGTCAGCGAAGCTTGTCACAGCACAAGCGGCATAGGCATCCTGATGAGCTGAATGCGGAACGCCTGGAAGAGTTGCCGCGACGGAAAGGTGAATGGAGTAAAGTAGAGTGCTTGCTACGTTATGCTGAAGGATTGTGGACCACTGGTGTCCAAAAACAACAGATGTACGAACAACTGACCTCAGTTTTTCCGGGACGGTCAGCGGAGGGGATTAAGAAGCAACTGAGGAAGATGAGCTGGCGACTTGAACCATACAAGAAGTCGGCCAAGGGTGGTACCAAACGGAAGGCACACGAAAGTTCTCCAGTCGAAGTGGATGACTTAGGGAGGGTGGCCAAGAGGACCAAAATCCGAACGCCTTTAGGATCTCCTCTAGCCTCGGAAAAGCCTAGTCACGCCATGGACTTTGGCGGATCCCCTCTGGTGTAGGACCCGTCGAACTCTTGACCTTTCCGGCATTGATGGACATTGAGTTTGCTGACGTGGAAGGGTTGGTAGACTTAGTACTTCCGTCCTCGCCGGTTAGGGCACAGCGAGATGGTGTAGAGCAGCAGTGGAGGGCAGCAATGCTCGACACTATAGTAAGGAAGCTGTCGGAACACCGAAACGAGAGGCTCCTATCAGACTTGCTTCTAGATCTAGCCCTGAACATCCGGAGAGGACGGCTGAATATCGCCGAGGCACAGGTTAGGTTTGAGGCCCACTTGGATACACGCTTTCCATCTAAGTGGGTTAAGCGTAGGAAACCAGAGGTCGCAGTCGCTGTAGGTAAACGGAAAATCCGTAAGGTAACATACGGTAAGGTGCAAACACTCTACAGGAAGGAGGTCAAGGACGCAGCAGGATGTATATTGGATGGAACTTGAAAAGACATCTACAAGATGTCGGACAAGTTATGCGACGGTGGCCAGGAGTACTGGCGGAATACGTTTACTACTCCAGGCTCGGTGGACACAAGACCGCCCCCGGATGCGGTTGAGAATTACGGCTTAATCTCCCAAATCACCGTCGCGGAAATCCAAGAGGCACTCAAGGGCTCGAACACCACAAGCCCAGG